GAGCAACCTCTTAAGGGCTGACCTAGAGCTCATCTTGAGTTAGGGTAGCCTACTAGTTGCTTAAAAGCAAAGACCTATCATAAAGTTTATCATGATGTAATAACCTATTGCTTGAAATCCAAGTGCCAAGCTTGAGCTCATCTTAAGTTAGAATAGCCTTCTAGTTACTTGAAAACTAAGGATTATCCTAAAGCATGAGATAGAATTTTGATTGCTTAAAAATCAAGGACTAACTTTGAGCTCATCTTGAGATAGGTTAACCTCCTAGTTACTTAAAATTCAAGAATTATCTTAAAGTTTACTCTGAGGAAAATTCTCGATTACTTAAAAGTCAAGAATGAACTTGGAACTACATGCATAAATCTTAGGGGTTTGTGAGGCATTCTAGTCATATCCCTTCCACCTTAACTTATACCCCTAACTTGGTTTAGGTTCTAAACTTAATCCAAATATCTTAAAATCTTAGCATAACCATTTCTTAAAATCGTGAGTCAGAATACTTAGGACTTTGAAATGACTTATGGTTATTCTTAGAACATTTCAATAATTTTTACTTTAATCCTTGGTTCCGTCTTTAAACCTTCTCTAATGACTTTGAAATCTTGCAAAGCCTCTTATATTCTTAAAAAATAGGTCATAGGGTTTATTTGGTCCATAAACCAATAAACCAACATTTAGGGATATTTTGGTCATTTACCAAGTTAAACTTGGTGCGAGCCTTAAACATGATCTAATGATTCTAAAACTTTGCATAATGGGTAAAAATCATAAAATAAAATCTCTTATAAAGTTTTATGACATTTAGAGGTCGTTTGGGTCATGAACGGTCAGTTACCTTTTACTTTAAGGGCATTATGGTTATTTTACTAACTTTATCCGATGACTACAAAATTTCATTTATAACCCTAACATGTCATATTATTCTAAGTATTAAAATTTTATAGGTACACGAATTTGTTTAGTGAGTTATTTTAACATTACTTGATTCTCAAGTAAAACACTCATTTAGATCCTTAACTCACATCTTTGTTCATTTCTTTCATATTCTTTTAAATCATACTGAAACTTAATTAAAAATTAAATTTCAAACGATTTATACAAATATTTCTAAAGAAAAATCGAAAATGACTATTTAGATTTTGAATCATATTTAAATTTGTAGTCGTGGTTTGATTAGTTAGTTGTTCACCACTTTAACTTAATTAAAAATTAGAAAAATTATATTTTTTCCCTTTTTGTTCCCAACTTTTGTAGGGCGTTACACAAAACTATGAAGATTTTTGTGAAAGAATAGAAAATTCAACTATAGAAGAGTTAGGAGTAAGAAGATTAAAAATCTACTAGACCCTTCTCTATACTCTTCCATGGGGATGTATTTAACCTTTAGTTTTATTTAATTTTAAATAAAAACTAAGTTGATTTCATTTTTTTTTCACTAATGAATTAAACCATCATTCCCAACCTTTCTTATTGGAAAATTTATGTTAAGAATAATTTTACCCAACATTATGAAATAGGTATATAAGTTTAATGTATTTTGCTTTTGAAGCAACAAACGACTTAAAGATATGAAAAGCGTTTTAAATATGATTTAGTCCATCACTATTTATTAGTATAATAGTGGTACAAACACTAATATTAATAAAATTTCTCGCGATGAGAGACATTTTGATATATATAAAATGACTCTATAAGCTAAAGTGATTAAGAGTTCACCTACCATCTCTAGATTTACTAGACGTGTCTCAAACGAAGAAGCTAGAGGACATGTTAAGGGTATAAAATATTTGTTGGATACATATCTCACTTTGTTGAGATTTATAACTTAAGACTTGTTGGATGATGAAAGTCCCACATCGGTTAATTTAGGGAATGATCATGGGTTTATAATCTAAGAATACACTCTTCATTGGTATGAGGCCTTTTGGGAAAGCCCAAAGCAAAGCCATGAGCACTTATACTCAAAGTGGACAATATATTGTGGTTTTATTTATTGGTATATGGGAGGATAATATTCAAGTTATAACTTAAAATGTATATAGTGTATATATATATAAGGTTGTGTAACGACTTAATCTAAGGTCGCTACTGTACACATATCATGAACACTGAATGCAAAATTACCTCCTTTAAATTTCATAAAACATAACTTTCATCTTAAAACACGACCATGGACTTACGTGTTCAAAAACATCTTTAAAACGACACAACAAAACGACTACACTATGCATGTGTCATGGTCTCGAGTTGCGATATTGTCGTCAATCGTACATGGATGCCTTGCTTTTACGCGACATTGAAGTAGCATGTGAACCCACTTCTACACACGGGCCCCTGCCTAGTAGTGTACGTGTTCGTACTATCATGAAAGAATAGGGATATTCTCCCATGCATGAACAAACAATAATGCACTCCTACACATGGGCCCCTACCTAGTAGTGTACGTGTCTGTACTATCGTGAAAGAATAGGGATACCCAATGTATGAACACACAATAATGCATGAGGTTCAAATAATTTTCATTTTTAGTATTATTTAATACAACCTCGCTAAGCATTTTGTTCATCCTGAGTGAATTATGAATGTATGTAAGAGATTGCTCTTTGATTTGCATGAGTGAGAATGACTTTTGTAATGAATTTAATGTCCACCACTTTATAGACTTAAGGAAAGAAAATGACGGGAAGGATATAAAATTAACTTCTTCCAATAAAAGGTAGGTAGATGAAGAGTTCTGTGACTTTTTGACTTAAACAATTGGTCACACCCTCTCACTAGTTCAAGAGGGAAGTAGCTTATGGTTGGATCATAATCAAATTATTCATTAGAACAAGAGTGATTAAAATAAACTTTTGATTAGTTGTAATTACAAATAACTCGTGAAAGATTGACTTGTTTACTGTGGTTCCATCTTTGGACACAATTTTTCTTTATTAATTGGAAATTCAATTCTTTTTACCTCGTCTATCCTCGATAATTTTTATTCTTAAAATGAATTTTTGTTGGGAAATACATATTTAAAAAAATTGTCAATATTATCGCATAGAACAATTTAATCATCTCCAAATTGCTGATTGAGTCACACATAACACTTTACTTTTTTTCTTAAAAATAATTTTTGTAACCCAAAATGATAATTAAAATCTAAATAATTGTAACTAGATAAGATAATTCATCTCGTTGAGTTTGGTCTTGAGTTGAGTCTTTCAAGCAGAATCAAAAGAAAGAAAGAATCAGAGAAAGAAGCCGAGGTTCAGGAGAGAAGCTGCTTTACCGAAGGTAAAGGTGAAAGAGTGAAATCAGTCTAATTCATCTTGCTTCTTCTTCTTTTCTTACTGTGAAAGAAGGGACAGGTCCTTGAAAGTGTTTTAATCTCGAAATAATTGAGTTCTCGTTATAAGAGTTCTTTGTTAAGTCTTGAAGCACAATTAAGGAATTTTTTTTTTTTTATCAAGTATGCCCTAATCCATATGAGTCATAAATATTTCTTTGCATGCATAAATCTTTCCTAAGCAATTTGTCACTTGGTATTCATAAAAACCTTGATTTTTTTATAAAGTGTTTTAAGAGATAGTTAAGTATTTTTCCTCTTGACTCATACTCCAAGGTTGTTCTTGTTGTACCACATAATGCCACAATCAAAATGCTCTGATACCACTTGTGCTATAGGGTCACAACAAAAAAATTCTATGATACATAATGCAATTCTTACCTATAAGAAATGTCAACTTTCCACCCTTGTTTCACCCATCTTATAAATTGAAAGACATGATCAAAAACATCTTAACAAACTCAGTTGTTTGTTCGATGTGCTCATAACAATAAAAAACCGCTTCACTGCCCATTTCAAATACATTATAAACAAGAGATATCAACAAATATTATACTTCCAAACTTTTCACATATCCAATAAGATAGGTGAGTCATTTTCAAACAAATTTAACAGACAAAAGAACTTGTCCATCCTTCTTTGTGTGAGCCTTTGCCCATAACATAATCCTTGAGATCAAAGTTGGATCCGAAGAACTTTTCTTCTGTAAAACGAAATAAGTATACTAAATTCACAGATACAAAATATTGATAGTTACCATCTCTTAATCCAAACGAGTATACCCTTTTCTACTACACATACGAGGGAGTTGTCTCTTATTTAGCACTTTAAACTTTTCACTTTTCAACTGTTCAACATGATGTTTTTGTTATAGCAGAGTATATAATAATTTCAAAAACATCATAGGTAACTTTTTGAATATATGGTTTGTGCTCTTACGCTTATGTTGCATTTTCCTTCTTGAGTCTTCCTAGAGACCACCAAGAGGAACTCGAGACATGGGAAGCCACCATTTTTCTTCTTTAACGCAGTAGTACTCTATGGAAAGAGGAAGACCCATTAGTCTCAGGGCCCAATATCCCTTGATCAACATACTCGAACTCACAAACTTCAAAACTATCTAACATTTCCTATAAAAAGTTTATTTTACCAAATTCAAAACAGATCTGAAATGATTGTAACACACAGACTAGTGAACATTGGTGATCATATAAGAAGCATGTTGTCCCGTTTTCGAAGAGCAAGAAGATTAACTAAAGATTCGAGGGTGGTTTGTGCGCCATAACCTGAAGGGTCATAAAAAAATCCCATAAAAAATTATGCTTTACAAAACCTAAGCATATAAACTCTCCCGTTTTCACATTTTGGACGCAGTCCCGTTCTTTGAACGAAATTGGAAATCTTATGATTGTATTGAACAAAAAAGAATCCTAACTCAAACATAAAACCCAAAAAAGAGATTTGATTGTTGAAGCTTTTGAGAATGGATGGGTGAAGCTTTTAGATTGTATTTGTACAAATTTACTTATAGCATAGTAAATCAAAGATTCAACTAATTGCATATGCATACATTATATACTTTTAATGTTTATATATGAAATGTATTCGTATTGCATTCTCAATGATATTGGCATTTAGTTATACAAATAAAGTTATGAAGGCAATCGTATGGAAGACAAAATAAATAGACAGGCAATCCCAAAAGGCGTAAGCGTCATACTTAAAAAACAAAGCTCATATTGCCATAAAGAGCTCGTTTGAAGTTATGTAGTACCTCAAGTTTACTTCCATTAGGAAATGTCTGCCAAGTAGGCGTCAACTCGACAATGTGATCGCTAACACAAAGAAGCCAATCCATCTCCCTTCTCTTGTGGAATAGGTTCTAATCGCTACAATTGCGTAAACAGAGTGCCTATAACAAAACAATGAGGAAGGAAATCAACATTACACACCTAGATAGAATATTAGGCAATGAGTGGAAAAGAGACAAAGCATACCACAAAGATTTTTAATGGCATTAGATATAGTAAATGTTGTACAAACCTCATTTCCGCTTATCTTCTCCAAGCTGCCATTTAGAAAATCTTTCCTTCATCATCTCAATCTTTGTAGCCTCACACGACATTAAAAGACTAATACAATTTATATGAAGAAACCCCGAAAAGGAAAGAGGGCCAAAATTACACGATGAAGATATTTTCTTCTCCAACTTCATATTATCAACATAGTTTTTTTTCTTCATTATCAACAACATTAAGTCTAATACAATCGGGTCCGTTAGCTTTCGTGTGGACTAACTCAATGAAGAAGGGGAAGATGAGTCCTCAGAGCCACTGTGACTGTACTTCTCAAGCCCTGTGGTCTTCGATGTAAGAAAATTAGAGCTCGAGCTACTCTCACGTTCATGTTCTTCAATCAAATAGCCAAACGTCTCATTTTCAGGCACAATGTGACCAATTCCTTAGCTCTTTTTAACCCCACTCTCCTCCATTACAATTTTCCCTCCTCAATCATAGCCATAACACAAAATCAAAGCAACCCACTTAGACTCCACTCACTAGAAGCCTCATCAATCCAAACCCTTCCGCAAATTAAGCTCAAAAGACACAGTTTGGACGGTGATTCCAACACCTATAAAGCCAAATAAAAGAAAATAGGGTTCAAAATGATTTATGGCCACCATTATTAAAACTAAAAGATATAGAAAGATAGCCATAAAAAATCAAAGAGAAAAAAAAGTAGGTCAAGCATGAAAAAATTGAAAAAAAAAATACTGGTTCATCTCACCATTCCCCTCGGATTGAAAACACAGAGCAGAAGTTCATCGGCAGAAGGAGTGACAAATCATATTTGACAATTACTAGACATGGATGTTTGGAGATTACAGTGGCAGTGACATGGTCAACAAATTGAAGCTTAGGGTTTTGAAATTTTGTATCGAGAGAAGAAGAAACACAACCAAAGTTATTAAAATAAAAATGGGCCGAAGAGCTTGAAGGGAGGAGCATCATAATAAAAAATGAACATAAATAAAAAAAAAAGCACTAAATGAAACTTTCTTGAGCCTACTGTTTTTTCAAGGCCTTTTATCATGGGAAAAATGCTATTAAATGTACAATTTCTAGTAGGGGATACTCAATTGTTGTTGTGATAACTCTATAAAGAGTAAAAGTCATATCAAATCTTTTTGTATTTAATATGATACTCTTATTCACCATTTTCTCATTGTTTACCTTATTTATTCTACTTAGTGAGCATGAAATTGTTTATTGTGGTCCAATATGAAAAAAATATAATTTGGCATAAATTGATTACATTTAATTGAGTTATGTGGTAAAATTTCAGACATTTATGCTGAACCACGAGGGAGTAAGCAAATTTGTAAATAAATTGGGGATGACATGAAAATTTTAAATCTACATCAGCATTCAAGTAGGTCATTGACTAACCAACTAGAAACATTCTATATGGACAACTTATTTCTTTTCAGCCCTAAAGGGAACCCATGTTCAATATAAAAGGAAAAGGAAGACCAAGAGGAGAGCCACACTTTGGGAGAAAAATCGAATTACACAGTAGCAGTGTCTGCTGCAGTGAATTGCTGTAAAACTAGAGAAGAAGAAGAAAACCGTGATCCAGCCGCTGTTGATAGTAGAAGGAAAATGAGACCAACAAGGATTGATTAGGGCAAAAAGGTGGACGTAAGAGCTCAAGAGGAGAGAATTTCTATTAACGAATGGCAACAAACGGGGATAGCTCTCTATTTCCTTATTCTCTTTTCTTATTTCATCAATTTTACATGATGAAGATGCAGATTACTCTGTTTAATTCAGTTTGTATGGAAAGCTAAACTTTATAGGGAGGCGAGAGAGTTTTATATAGATTAAGTATGTTGACAGTATGATTTTAGTTTATTAAAGAGTTGTTAATGATTTACATGTGTAATTAATTAACTACTTTACATACATAGTTGTTCTCTTGTTCGGGAGAAGAGAGGGAGCAATGAAATTCTCTTTAATACTTTAGTTCACTAGCAAAGAGACTTGAAGGGTAATAAAAGGGTTAGAAATAATTTTTCTCCTATAGCCTTGTTAATAGAGTTGTTGTTAATGATTTACATGTGTGTTTAATTAACTACTTTACGTACATAGTTGTTCTCTTGTTCGGGAGAAGAGAGGGAGCAATGATAATGTGACTTGACTCCACACCTCGAAACAAGGCTAGACAAGCCTTTGCATAATAATACTATTCTCATACATAAATCAAATAAATGAGAATATTAATCAAAAAGGTTTTAAACTAAAGGGTTAATAACTAAAATAAATGAGAATATTAATCAAAATGGTTATGACAATACATCTTCATAACAATTTACAACAATCTCTATCTTTTGAGAAGATTCCAAAGTAGATAACCGAATCCCAAAGCAGATAACTGGTTTGATTGCCACCAAATCAACATGTTACATCTTTCTTCCAACATTCACTAGATTTAAGCAATGTCAAAATTTTTCAGGAGCAACCACTTTTATCAACATATCTGCAGGATTGTCAGCAATTCTAATTCTCAATAAACGAATGTTACTTTCATTAATAATTTCTTAAACAAAATGAAATCGGACATCAATATTTTTGGTACGAACATAATAGACTTGGTTCTCCGACAAACAAATAGCACTTTGACTATCACAAAACACATCTATGTGTTCGTGAAAAATACACAAGTCATTAACCAAACCATGCATCTAAATAGCTTCTTTAAAAGCTACTGTGACTGTCATATACTGTGTTTTGGTGGTAAAAAATTCAAGAGTAAACTGCAATATTAAACGCCAACAAATAGGTCCACCAGTCATTGTGGAAAGATAACTAGTAGTGGACCGACACTTATCCAAATCACTCGCATACCTGAGTCGCAAATGTCATAGGTTCGATATATCTTGTTCTTTCGAACGTACCACAGTAGTATGACCCATTATTGTGGTTCCATTAAGGTAGTATATGCAACCTCTTCTAGTCCCTCTAGTTACCACCTAAGTTCCACAATCTACTTTCAAATTTCCTCCTTCCAAAGTGATACGATAACTATTCGCATCCAAAACATCAAGAGATATCAAATTAAGAACTCTTTGTTAAGGACATACCTTACATCGTACAAAGATTTCTTCAATCTACATATCAAAATTTGTTGCCCAACTACTCGAAAATCAAATGACGGTGTCATATATATTTCTTCTTCCAAATCTCCATACAAGAAAACAGATTTTCATACTAGGTTGTGCAAGCTCAAAATTAAATTGAGCAATCAAAACCAACCAAATTCGAATAGATGGTGACAATCACAATTCTTGAAAATATGATTTCCATGCCTTACACAAATTTCTTCATTCTACGTACCAAATGTCATTGTCGAACTGTTCAGTTGTGTCATATATATTTATTCTTCCAAATCTGCATATAAGAAAACAATTTTTCATACCAAGTGATGCAAGCTCAAAATTATATTAAGCAACCAACAACCCATACAAGATTTCTTCAATTTGCATGTGAAATGTTGTTGCACAACTACTTGCCAACCAAATGACTGTGTCATATATATTTCTTCTTCCAAATCTGCATACAAGAAAACAGTTTTTCATTTCAAGTTGTGCAAACTTAAAAGTAAATTGAGCAACCAAAGCCTAAAAAATCCAAATGGAGGGCGATTATCACAAATCTTGGAAATATGATTTCCAAGAAACAAATATCATCAATTGTCCATACAAAGATTTCTTCAATATACATGTCAAATGTTGTTGTACAACTACTTGAAAACCAAATGGTAGTGTCATATATATTTCTTCTTCCAAATTTTCATGCAAAAAAAATTGTTTTTATATCGATTTGTGCAACCTCAAGATCAATTTGAGCAACCAATGACAACAAAATCTAAATGGATGGAGATAATTACAATTCTTGAAAAATATGATTTCCAAGAACAAATAAGCATGCTTGCAATGAGAAACTTATTTTCGATAATTGATGGTGAGTGTGAGCACGTCTAGTGGTTGATGGGGTTAAGTCTTTCACCATACCTCAAATGCCACAACCTGACGCTTTGATACCACTTGTTGTACCCCCAGAATACCACAACCAAAATGCTCTAATATCACTTGTTGGGTGATAATACCACAACAGAAAATGCTATGATACCAATTGTTGTAGCAGAATAGCACAACAAAAAATGCTCTAAAACACAATTGTTGTAGCGGAAGCAAAAGCAAGATCGATCGCACTCACACACCCACAAACAGAAATTAAACAAAGAGACATAAAGATTTACTTGGTTCGGAGATGAAAATTCTCCTACATCCACGGGTGGTAGCTAATCAGTATATCCAAAATGTTTACAAATGTATCTCTCACACTCCACGCTACAAAGTCTCTCAACAAAAGTTCCCCCCAATTGCCTCTAGGCAAATACAAAATGACCATGACTCCACTTACCTCCACACCTCAAAACAATGATAGACAAGCCTTTATAAAGGCATAACAATACTAATTCTCATACATGAATCAAATAAAGGCTAATATTAATGAAAATGACTATGAACTAAATAAGAGTTAATAAACAAAATAAATGAGCATATTAATCAAAATAATTATGAAATAAATGAGAGTTAATAGCCAAAATAAATGAGAATATTAATAAAAATGGTGATGACAATACATTTCATGACAACTTACAATAGTCCTAATTCCCTAAGATCTTTCTTAGTTACCCTTGGTATTGTAAATGAGTCTCATATAAATTTTTGTAATATTTTGAGTATTTTAGCGTCTTGATAACATTTTAGAATTCTCCTGGGATTTTTTGTCATTTACTAACAAAAATTTTGATTTAAATCTTCAACATAATTCAATGGCCTTATAACTTTATAGGATCCTTTAAACCATGAAATAAGACTCATTAAATTTCATGTAATTTAGAGGTTATTTTGGTCCTAAACCAATGGTACATAATTATAAGAGAATTTTAGTCATTTTACAGCTACATTTGGTTTAGCCCTTATCATAATTTTTCGTAAGTCTACTACTTACTACACAACTACCATCATATTACTTATCATCATAAGCATACAATTTGGCAACAAAAAATATTAATAAGCACACAACTAGGTCAATCATTATATTACACTCAATAGTATAATCAAGACTAAAATTCCATGTTAAGTTACATTTAAACATAGTAAGTGATCATAGCATAGACAATACTTGTAGCGATCACTAGAACATGCTAGCATGTGAGTATATCCTACCTTAGGTGGTAAAATATGCATGATTGAGAGTGTAGATCGACAATTTGGATGAAAATGCTATGTATGTTAGGTAAAATTATGAAATTGCCTTAGGATGAAAATTTGGAATGCTTGTTGACCGTAATGCTTTCTGTTTTGTTAGAATGGGGATGGATGTGATATTTGTTCTATGTGATTGTGGATGTTATCTCCCCATTGAGTTTGCAGAAATGATTAGATTATATATTCGGTGCTTTAGGTGATCGATAGAATTTTCTCCCTAACAGAGCATGCATGAGTAAACATGTTGAGATTAGAGCGCTAGAGCTAGGTCGTTTCGATGTTGCCTTAAGTCAATACATTTCCAGTAGATCAAGCACTCTAGGATCGTGAGCGTCCTTAAAATGTGAAATGAGATTTAAAATCAGCCTAGACCCTCTAAGAACCTAGTCAACCTCCGTGACAAGAACGACTAAGAAAGCTTAATAGTAGGAGTGTACATGAATCAAATTTGGTTGGATTTAGGAAATTTTTTAGACCAAACTAAAAGTTTGTGTTAGTTGGATAGGTAACCCAACCCAACCCTAAAATTTTCACAATCCAACCTTCTATTTTTGGGTTGGATTGTCCAATTTAAAAAAA